ACGGTGGAAAGTGGAGAGCGCAGGCCGGTGAGTGGCCAGCAGGAGGATGTATGCTAAATGCATCAAGAGCGACCTGGTGGAGCTGTGCAGGCAGAGGGGGCTGCGCATTGGAAGGTCCACCAAAGAACAGCTCATTGCCCAGCTGGAGGAGAGGGATCGCTTGGATGAACCGAGGCCTGTCCCTGAGGGAAGCCGCCCGGCGGATGCAGCGCGGGTCCCAGGGCCTGACATGGCTGGGAGGGGTCAGACTGCTGCCAAGGACATCCCGAGACCCTGCCTTCCTATACTTAGGGGAGGGGTTGGAGGAAGCCCAGCGAACACTGAGGGCACCCTGACCCCGGCGGCCAGCAGGGGATCATCCTGGTGGAGCTTCCCATCCCTGGAACAGAGGCAGCTGGAATATGACAGGGAGCTGAGACTGAAAGAGCTCGAGTTAAGGAAGCAAGAACTGAAGCAGGAGCGGGAAGAGAAGGAGAAATGACATCAGCATGAGCAGGACCAACGTCAGCATGAGCTGGAACTGGCCGGGCTGAGGAGCAGCGAGCCCCTGGCTGCGGTGAGCAAGGGGGGACCCAAGACTGCAAAGAGCTTTGATAAGTGCTTCCTGGCCCAGCGTAAGGAGGGGGAGGACATGGTGTCACGGACTCACAGATCGTGCCCACTCTTGGCCCCGTGCAGTCCGTGGGGGGTGCCCCTGTTAGTGAGACAGCCCTTCTCGGGGGTCCACTCTCTCTCGGGTTCAGGCCCCTCCACCTCCTGGAGCTGCACCTCTCGGAGCCTTAGCACACCTGTTTCTCGCCGTGGGCCCCCTCGGGGAGTCCACTCGCTCTGGATCCCCGGGGCCTCCACCCCCGAAGGGATTGATGCCACCCTGTTCTCTAGACCGGAGTGACTCTCAGCCAGCGTAAAACAGGAGGGTTTATTGAGAGTTGAACACAGCACAGGAAGCTCTCAGGGCCTCAGGCCTGGCCTCCCTCAGCCCAGCACACCCCAGTCTCTCTGCATCCTGGTCGGCTCTGCCTGCTCCCCCTCTCCAGCCCAGAGCCCTCCTGCTTCCCAGCTGGGCCTCTGAGATTACCGGCCCCAGGCCCCGCCCCTTCCATTATCTTCTCTTCAGGGAAACAGGGTCATAAACCAGGGCCTCCTCTCCCCTCTTCTGTCCTCTGGCTGGAATCGGCTGGTTAGGTCACTGGGTCCTCACTCTGCAGCCCATTGTCCGCCCACTGGCCAGAACCGGCTGCCATTGAAACTCCACAGAAAACAAGAAACCCCCCCACTTCATCATACATGGATACCTTCCTGACGGCCTTTGAGAATATCTGTGAGCTGCACCGGGTTGACCCTGCAGACAGGCTCCAGTTTCTCATTCCCTCACTGGACTCCGCAGCCGTGGACGTGTATAGCCAACTGAAAGGGGCGGAGACAGGGGACTACGAACTGTTCAAAAATGCCCTGCTCTGCGAGGTTGGGCTGACCCCTGAGATCTATCGGAAAAGGTTCCGGAGTCAGTGTAAAACCCGTGAGGTCACATACCTACAACTGGCCAACCGGACGCAGGGGTATGCCTGCAAGTGGACAGCTGGGGCCCAAACTAAAGAAGACCTGCTAGACCTATTCGTACTGGAGCACGTGTATGAGCAGTGCCCATCCGACCTGAGGCGATGGTTGATGGACCAAAAACCAGAGAACCCGCAGCACGCAGGCCAGTTGGCCGACGAGTTTGTGAACTGTCAGGCAGGGGATGACAGGGAGGAGTCCCAAAGGAACAAGCCCGCCACAATGCAGGAAGAGAGTGACTCTGGGACCTCCCAAAGGGGAAACATGGAGAATCCCCTTCCAAGGGGAACACCCAGCATCAGGACCAACCGACCAGCTCGAGGGACCCACGGGACATGGGCTGCTATTACTGTGGCCAGAGAGGCCACATACGGACCCAGTGCCCCAAGCTCAGGGACAGACTGAGCAGACCCAACCCACAGAGGGTTGACTGGGTAGAGACCCAGCCGGACGAGGGGAAGACGGCCCAGGCCAGGGGGGCTGACAGCTTCCCAATGGCTCAGAAGGGAGGATGGCCCCAGGCCAGCTTCTCTGGGGGGCTGGATGCTCCAGACACCAGGTTCTCCGTTTACAGGGTGGACGTGGGGCGGTCCCTGCGGAGCGAGTGCCTTGTTTGCCTGGAGGTGGATGGGAGGAAGGTCAATGGATACTGGGACACGGGCGCAGAGGTGATGCTGGCCCAGCCTGAGGTGGTAGCTCCAGATCAGGTGGTGCCCAACACATATCTAACCCTGACGGGGGTGGGTGGGACTCCATCAAGGTGCCTGTGGTGAGGGTACATCTGAAGTGGGGGGCCAAGGAAGGCCCCAAGAACGTGGGGGTGCACCACCATTTGCCCACTGAGGAGCTAATGGGGGGGGGGACCTGGAGGACTGGCCAAGCAACCCCTAGGGTGCCCTGGTCGTGACCCATAGCCAGAGCTGGCGAGGGGCACTGCGCCCTGACAACGGAGAGGGTACCTTGCCCGAGGCATTTGAACCTAACCTGGTCGGGAGGGAACGCCCAGGGACATGGCTCAGGGAGGCTGCAGCTTCAGACCCAGCCGGCGAGAGAGAGCAGGTGGCCATCCCTGTCCCAGCTGCTGAGTTCCAGGCCGAGTTACAGAAAGATGCCTCCTTGCGGAAGATAAAGGACCTGGCCAACCTCAGATTGGTACAGACCATGGAGGGAGGTGGCCGGAAAAGGTTCCTGTGGGAGAAGGGGTTCCTGTACCGAGAATGGGCTTCCCAAGGGAAAATGGAGTCGGGGGGGATCAGGAGGCAGCTGGTGGTACCCGAGAAGTATCGCCGCCAGCTGCTGTACAGGTCCCATGACATTCCCCTCTCAGGGCACCAGGGAACCTGGCGTACCCAGCAGAGGCTGCTATGAAACTTTTACTGGCCTGGGGTCTTTGTTACTGTCCGACAGTACTGCCGATCCTGTGACCCCTGTCAGAGCGGGAGGAAGGCCCGGGACAAGGGGAAAACGGCTTTAGGACCCTGGCCCATCATAGAGGAGCCTTTCCAGAGGGTGCCCAAGGTCAAAAGGGCGGCTCTGAACCAAGAGAGCCCGAATCACAGACCTCCAGACTGGAACGCTGGGAGAAGACCCCAGCCCAGTTGGAACCCCAGGGGTATTGGGGTGGGAAAAGGGCACGGGCCGCATAAACCTTCCCACAGGTGAACTACGAGTGCCATCGAGCACACCCGACCTAAGGGGGGGCGTGAAACTGGAGGGGTCTGGTGTAATTCTCACCAAGGAATGGGAGGGATGCTGGGGCATCCACAGGAACGGGGGTAGGTTCGAACTTCCCCAGGTCACTGGCTGAAGTGACCCCGCTCAGTTCGGTCTCAAAGGGGGGAGAGATGTGACGAACTGGGACTGTTCTTAATGTGGTCTTTGAATGCTGAGTGGGGAGTGTGGCTAGGACGGTCTGCATTGTGGGATGGGAGACTGGCCTTGAGGGGAAATACAGGAGCACATAATGGGAGAACCCAGGAGCGGGCTGGGGCCAGGTGACACCTCTGCCCAGGAAACTGGACAAAGGCTGGGGGAGGAGCTGGGGGAGGCTGGGTGAGAGATGCTGGAGGGAGGGAGAGTTTCAGGAGCTGGCTGGTAATGGAGGGAACCCAGACGGGGGTCTGCCCCCCAATGGGGCTGTGGTGCCCCGGGACCCCAAGATGGACCTAACTGGGGGGGTCCTGTTGTCTGTGCCTGCAAGACCTGTCTTGGACTGTGTTCCTGTCGTCTAAATAAACCTTCTGCTTTACTGGCTGGCTGAGAGTCATGGTGAATCGCAGGAAGCCGGGGGTGCAGGGCCTTGTGTCCCCCCACACTCGGTGACAGAACCCATCACACCCCCTCCCCTCATGTCCCTTTCGCAGCATCCTGAGGTCAGAGAGGGAAACTCGGCTCAGGCGTCGACTCCTGTGAGCTCTGCCCAGAGCCCTGAGCTGCGCAGATCCACTGCCCCGGGGATGGGACACGGGGCCTTTCACTTCTAGGGGGCTGGCTATAATCTGTGTCCTTTTCTCTAAGCACCAGACTCCACCCCCCAACCAGAGCCAGGGAGAGAACCCAGGAGTCCTGGCTCCCAGCCATCCATGCCCCCCAATCATTGCCCCCTCACCCCCACCAGAGCCAGGGTATATAACAGGGTAGGTGCCGGGCATCAGGTTTACGCAATTTCACTGGCAGTAGCAGAAACAGGAAGCGAGCGCCAGCTCTGGGCAGACTTCCCCTTTCATGGATTTATCCGCTGCTCCTTTAACAACTCAGGATCTACATTTATCCCTCCCTCCCCCACTCATGGGGGCTAGAAACCACAATCCCCACCCCCGTCTTCTGTCTCTCTGCCACATCACTTGGCTAAGAATAGTGTCTGCAGCGACACTACCTGAGAAGGAGGTTGTCCAGGCCCTTCCACCCTCATGCTCCATGGTGGGCACTGGGCCCAGCCGGGTCAGGAAGGAATCTCTGCCCTGCTCCATGGGAGAGGGTCGCTCTGTGGGGGGCACTGTGTGTGTGTGTAGTGGGAGCCCTCCTCTGCTCTGAGCTGCTGCTCCAGGGAGGCTAGACGGGCCTGTTGGAAAAGGTCAGGACAGCCTGAGCCTGGGCACCTCTTGACGCCTCCTGAGATTCCCCCTGTTCCCAGCTGGTCCCTGAACTGGGCAGCTCCCATGTGGGGCTGGGAGGTGATGGTGGGGGGAGGGGACCAGGCAGCTGCAGGAGGGGATGTGGTTTGCTCGGCATTGCAGGGAGCTGGTATTGCTCTGACCGCAGTAGATTTGGTCTGGAAATTGCAGAGAAACCATATGAAGAAAGGGGCCGAGCGCATCATGGGCTTCCTGGGGCTGCAGCCCCCAGCGCAGTTCCTCATTCCGCTCGCACTCGGGCCTCAGGCTCGGTGGAGCTGGGCACCGGGGTGTTGGTGGCAGCGCTAAGGGGCCCCCCACTGCCCCGTCATGGCGTCTGCTCTCATAAGTGAGTCTGCTCTCGTCCTCCTCCTAAGTGAGTATTGGAGACAGCCAATTGTGTGTGTGTGTGGGAGATCTGAGACCAGGGTGTGTGTCCAGTGGGGGTGTGGGGGGGGGTGTGGGGGAGGATCTGAGACCAGGGTGTAGGATCCAGTTGCTCTGGGATCTGCTCTCTAACGAGCCGTCTCCTCTCCAGGCTTCTGGCTGGCCGGGCGGAGCCGGGAGTTGGGACGTGAGTATCTGTGGGGAATGGGGCAGCTGGGGGAATTTCCGCATTAAGGAGAAGGGATGTGGGTGAGGGGCGCCAATCCCCCAGAGGGATGATCCTGTCAGACATGTGCTCCCTCCCACACCCAGAGGTAGGGACTGGGACCTCGCCCCACTCATTACAGGGATGGGAACCTATTAGAACAACTAGGGGATTTTGTAAACATGTTTTCTTGGGGGTCCTGTCCTGGGATCCACTTGCTCAAATGAGCCAAATTTGGACCAGGAACCCCCCAGGGTAGATCCCAATTCACCGCCTGACTGTGATGGGGGCAGGGTTGGGTTCTGATCTCAGTTCCCCAGGCACAATCCAGAGTCGCCCCTGAGTGCACTGGGGGCAGGGACAGGTTCTGATCACATCTCTTTGGGGTCAATCTGGAGTCATCCCTGACTGCAGCGGGGGCAGGGCTGAATTGACCCTGGATAACTAAAGGAATCTGAGATTGGAAATCTCCTCTCCCTGTCCTGTGTCTCACCCTGGCTGTGAGCCGCGGGGCCGAGCCTGCACCCCAGGGAGGGGCGGGGAAAAAATGCTGGAGCGACAGATGGGCAGAGGGTTGAATCAGATGGACACGATTTGTGTCACCCCCACTTACTGCCTGTTTGTTTGTGAATCCAGAAGGGTCCTACCCCAAACCCTCCATCTCCGTCAGCCCCGGTGGGGTGATCCCTGTGGGGGGAAACGTCACCATCCGGTGTCGGCATCAGCACCTGGGCATGAGGTTCCTCCTCTACAAGGATGAAGATGAGAACCATCTGACTTACACAGACCCTGCTGGCTCTGAGGCTGAATTTCCCATCACCAGCGCCAGACGGGAACAGGGCGGAAACTACACCTGTCGTTATAGCCACAGAACAGGACCAGCTGCCTACTCGGAGCCCAGTGACCCTGTGCAGATCATTGTAGCAGGTGAGGAGCCCAGTCTGGCATCTTGGCTCCCAGCCCCACACTCAGCCAGACCCCCAGGGGGTCTTTGTGAGCCCTGGTGCCCAGCAGATGGGATGTCCAGCCCAACCAGTGAGGGTTGGGTGGAGGGGGGATATCTCGTCACAGACTCACAGATTGTGCCTACGCTTGGCCCCGTGCGGTCCGTGGGGGGGTGCCCCTTTCAGTGAGACAGCCCTTCTCGGGGGTCCACTCTTTTTCGGGGTCAGGCCCCTCCACCTCCTGGAGCTGCACCTCTCGGAGCCCTAGCACACCTGTTTCTCGCCGTGGGCCCCCTCAGGGAGTCCACTTGCTCTGGACCCCTGGGGCCTCCACCCCCAAAGGGGTTGATGCAACCCTGTTCTCTAGCCCAGAGTGACTCTCAGCCAGCGTAAAACAGGAGGGTTTATTGAGAGTTGAACACAGCACAGGAAACTCTCAGGGCCTCAGGCCTGGCGTCCCTCAGCCCAGCACACCCCAGTCTCCCTGCATCCAGGTGGGTTCTGCCTGATCCCCCTCTCCAGCCCAGAGCCCCCCTGCTCCCAGCTGGGCATCTGATATCACCGGGCCCAGGCCCCGCCTCTGTCCATTGTCTTCTCTCCAGGTAAACAGTGTGGTAAACCGGGGTCTCCTCTCCTCGCTTCTGTCCTCTGGCTGGAATCGGTTGGTTAGGTCACTGGGTCCTCACTCTGCAGCCCATTGTCCGCCCACTGGCCAGAACCGGCTGCGTCTCCTCAGCTGGGCCTCTGGGTCACCAGGCTGCCAGGTCACCGGTCGCTGGAGTATCCATCCTCCCAGCCATCGGCTCGGTCCCCAAGTCCTCTCTCTGGTCCTCTGCAAAACACACTCCCTCTCCCCTCACCTCGTTAAACCAGTAACACCCAGGGAAACTGAGTCCCACCCCCTCCGCATGCAAACCATTGAAACTCTACAGAAAACAAGAAAACCCCCCACTTCGTCACACTCGTCCCCGTGGTTCTTTGGTGCCCTGGATCTCTGCCCCTCTGCTGAGTGACAGGGCCTATGTCTCATGGCCTGTCTCCCTCCCACTGCAGAGGTCAGCTACCCCAAACCCTCCATCTCCCTCAGCCCCAGCGGGGGGGTCACCGTTGGGGGAGCCGTGAGCGTCTGGTGTCGGGGGCAGCGCCAGGGCGTGCGGTTCGTGCTGAATAAAGAGGGCCGCCATTTCCCACCTGTGGATTCGGACAGGTTTGAGGCTGTGTTTCCCATCAGCAACGTGCGCCGGGAGGACGGCGGGAGCTACAGCTGCTCCTATCACAGCAGATCAGAGCCATTCGCTGTGTCGTACCCCAGCGACCCCGTGGAGCTGGTGGTGAGAGGTGAGGAGCCCGGCTCGGTGTCCCCGTTCCCAGCCCCACCCCCAGCCAGACCCTCACGGGGGCTCGGTGCCAATGGGACGCTCAGAACCAGGCTCTGTCCTGAGCCCTGACCCCACAGAGGGGACGCCCGGCCGGGGAGCGGGGACGGAGTCACTGGGGGGTTCCCCAGCCAGGCTGTGTGGGGCTCAGGCCCTGCAGTGCCGGGCACCACCAACCAGCCCGTGAGTCGCTCTGTACTCAGGGTGGGGGGTGGGGTGGGCGGAATGAGGCAGGGACCACGACAGCATGTGAGGACCCCAAGAACTATCAGCCGTGGCTCTGTGTCTGTGGGGCTGGGAGCCCAGTTCACAGGGCCCGGATTCTCCATCAGGGGGACTCTGGGATCTGGGAGAGAATCTGCTGGGGGGGCCCCTGGATTTGCCCCTGGGGGGAACTGCAGAGCAGGGGCCTTTCCCAGGGGATGGTCCCCCAGCTGCCCTTGCACTGGGGACTCACAGAGGAGTCAGGGCCCAGGGGCTGCCGAGCCGGCACCGTCCCCAGCCACAAACCCCCCACCCCGGGACTGACAGTAACGATCGATGCTGAGTCACGGGCAGAGGTGGATTAAGGTTTCCTGGGACCCTGGTCCAGAGCAAGGGGGATCCCTCTCCCCCTTCCACCTGCGTCCCTCTCCTGTTCTGCCTCCTCAGCCTGCGGCCTCGCCTATGACTCCACCCCTTTCTGCCCGTTCCCCGGGGCCCCGCCCCATTCCACGCATAGCCCCACCCCTTTCTGCCTCTTCCCCGGGGCACTGCCCCATTCCACCCATGGCCCCACCCCATTCCGTCCCCCCACTACAGCCCCACAACTTATTTGCTACTTTCTGCCTCCACCCACTGCGGCCCCAAGACCGGAGGAGCTCTGTCCCCGCACCTCAGACCCGGGGTGCAGCGGGTAGCAAGAGCTCTTCCCGTCAGGGGCCGCAGCGGAGGTCCTGGTGCTAAGGCTTCCCCTGCCCCCCCGGCCCCCGTGCTTCTGTGGGGCACCAGGATCGGGGTGCTGGGGCTTCCCCCGTCTTGCTTGCCCGGGGCTCCGGGGTAACTGAAACGTTCCCGGTCAGTGCAGCTGTGGGGAGAACCCCCCAGATCCGCCCCCAGATCCACCCCCAACAGCGCCCTCCCCTGCACTCAAAGTCCCTCCCCCCCCCGTTCCCAAGGCCTGGGGAAAGGTGGGTCTTGTGTGACTTCCGCCGGTCATAGACTCTATTTCCAACTCCGGGGTGGGGGGCAGAGCTGCAGGGGGCCCACTGGTCAGGCTCCCTGGCTGGCCTCAGGTGGGGCCGGGGGGGGGGGGGGGGGCAGGTGATCTCTCATGCAGCCGGGTCCTGAGCGACGTCTGGGTCATCCCCCTGCCCCCGAGCCCCATGGGCAGGCAGTGCCAACCCTGGTAGGGGACAGACTCCTAGAGAGGCCGAATGACGGATGGACT